ATAAAAACTGGTCCATGTGTACAGTTTTGGACGCTGATTCCAACGGTGAAGTCTGTTTTTCGCCACATATTATACTTTGGCCCCTAGAGGCATTCAAAGTTTTTTTGTGGTGAAGGGGGACCCCCTTAGATTTTCATAAAAACTGGTCCATGTGTACAGTTTTGGACGCTGATTCCAATGAAGAAGTCTGTTTTTCGCCACATATTATACTTTGGCCCCTAGAGGCATTCAAAAAATTGAATGCCTCTAGGGGCCAAAGTATAATATGTGGCGAAAAACAGACTTCACCATTGGAATCAGCGTCCAATACTGTACACATGGACCAGTTTTAATGAAAATCTAAGGGGTCCCCCTTCGCCCCAAAAAAACTTTGAATGCCTCTAGGGGCCAAAGTATAATATGTGGCGAAAAACAGACTTCACCATTGGAATCAGCGTCCAAAACTGTAACCATGGACCAGTTTTTATGAAAATCTAAGGGGGTCCCCCTTCGCCCCAAAAAACTTTGAATGCCTCTAGGGGCCAAAGTATAATATGTGGCGAAAAACAGACTTCACCATTGGAATCAGCGTCCAAAACTGTACACATGGACCAGTTTTTATGAAAATCTAAGGGGGTCCCCTTCCCCAAAAAACTTTGATTGCCTCTAGGGGCCAAAGTATAATATGTGGCGAAAAACAGACTTCACCGTTGGAATCAGCGTCCAAAACTGTACCCATGGACCAGTTTTTATGAAAATCTAAGGGGGTCCCCCTTCGCCTTAAACAAACTTTGAATGCCTGTAGGGGCCAAAGTATAATATGTGGCGAAAAACAGACTTCACCATTGGAATCAGCGTCCAAAACTGTACACATGGACCAGTTTTTATGAAAATCTATGGGGGTCCCCCTTCGCCCCAAAAAAAACTTTGAATGCCTCTAGGGGCCAAAGTATAATATGTGGCGAAAAACAGACTTCATCATTGGAATCAGCGTCCAAAACTGTACACATGGACCAGTTTTTATGAAAATCTCAGGGGGTCCCCTTCCCCCAAAAAACTTTGAATGCCTCTAGGGGCCAAAGTATAATATGTGGCGAAAAACAGACTTCACTGTTGGAATCAGCGTCCAAAACTGTACCCATGGACCAGTTTTTATGAAAATCTAAGGGGGTCCCCCTTCGCCCCCAAAAAACTTTGAATGCCTTTAGGGGTCAAAGTATAATATGTGGTGAAAAACAGACTTCACCATTGGAATCAGGCATCAGCGTCCAAAACTGTATCCATATGGACCAGTTTTTATGAAAATCTAAGGGGGTCCGAATGTGATTCTGAAAGTGAATCTGAATGCCTCTAGGGGCCAAAGTATATGTGGCGAAAAACAGACTTCACCATTGGAATCAGCGTCCAAAACTGCACCCATGGACCAGTTTTTATGAAAATCTAAGGGGGTCCGAATGTGATTCTGAAAGTGAATCTGAATGCCTCTAGGGGCTAAAGTATAATATGTGGCGAAAAACAGACTTCACCGTTGGAATCAGCGTCCAAAACTGTACACATGGACTAGTTTTTATGAAAATCTAAGGGGGTCCCCCTTCGCCCCAAAAAAACTTTGAATGCCTCTAGGGGCCAAAGTATAATATGTGGCGAAAAACAGACTTCACCATTGGAATCAGCGTCCAAAACTGTACCCATGGACCAGTTTTTATGAAAATCTAAGGGGGTCCCCCTTCGCCCCAAAAAAACTTTGAATGCCTCTAGGGGCCAAAGTATAATATGTGGCGAAAACAGACTTCACCATTGGAATCAGCGTCCAAAACTGTACACATGGACCAGTTTTTATGAAAATCTAAGGGGGTCCCCCTTCCCCAAAAAAACTTTGAATGCCTGTAGGGGCCAAAGTATAATATGTGGCGAAAAACAGGCTTCACCTTTGGAATCAGCGTCCAAAACTGTACACATGGACCAGTTTTTATGAAAATCTAAGGGGGTCCCCCTTCGCCCCAAAAAAACTTTGAATGCCTCTAGGGGCCAAAGTATAATATGTGGCGAAAAACAGACTTCACCATTGGAATCAGCGTCCAAAACTGTACACATGGACCAGTTTTTATGAAAATCTAAGGGGGTTCCCCTTCGCCCCAAAAAACTTTGAATGCCTCTAGGGGCCAAAGTATAATATGTGGCGAAAAACAGACTTCACCATTGGAATCAGCGTCCAAAACTGTACACATGGACCAGTTTTTATGAAAATCTAAGGGGGTCCCCTTCCCCCAAAAAACTTTGAATGCCTCTAGGGGCCAAAGTATAATATGTGGCGAAAAACAGACTTCACCGTTGGAATCAGCGTCCAAAACTGTACACATAGACCAGTTTTTATGAAAATCTAAGGGGGTCCCCCTTCGCCCCAAAAAAACTTTGAATGCCTTTAGGGGCCAAAGTATAATATGTGGCGAAAAACAGACTTCACCATTGGAATCAGCGTCCAAAACTGTACCCATGGACCAGTTTTTATGAAAATCTAAGGGGATCCGAATGTGATTCTGAAAGTGAATCTGAATCTGAGGCTGTCTTGACAGACGTTTTCAAGAATACAGCTGCCTTCTTAACGTACTGTATCACTTGTTAATTCTTCAAAAAGCAAGCTCTGAGCAATAACAGTCTTCTTTGCATTGCTGTTGACAATTTAAGTTGCTTTTGGACGGTGGCTCGCACCCCCAATATGCTGCCGCGCAACTTTATTCCAACGGCGAAACGGCAGCTTCGCGAGAATCGAAAATTCACGATATACGTACAGCAGGGGCTGGCAATGCAGTATGCACAAGGACAGAATATGGAGGAGACCCGACAGTCATCGGCCCAAGTTTGGGGATGGCTTTGACGAGCATATGCGTCACCAATGTCATTATTCAGATACGTTGATGTCAGATGCTGGGGCAACAGAATCGACGCCAGGTGTAACTTAGATTAGCGGGTCGAAAGAAAACATAACATGTCTGGGAATGACAGAGTGGCCACCCTGACAGTGTGACGAAGTGAGACATGAGTAGAGACATTAGCCGGAGTACCTACTCATATAAATCAAGCGCCGTTTATCCAATCCTTCGAGCATAAGCGACGCCGGCAGTCCGGCCAGGGCGGCCGTGCCCACCGATGCCGATCAAGACCCGAATCCAGACCCGGCATAGAACACAGCTCTGCCCTGACGTGACACATTACCCCGGTGTGTCACTCATGACGGATAGACCAATGCAGGAGCCTTGCCAGCTCCTGTTGTACCTACTTCGTTAAATTTTCGATTCTCGCTAAGTTGACGTTTTGTCGTTGGAATAGAGTTACGCGGCAGCATATTGGGGCTGCGAGCCACCGTCCAAAAGCAACTTAAATTGTCAACAGCAATGCAAAGAAGTCTGTTATTGCTCAGAGCTTGCTTTTTGAAGAATTAACAAGTGATACGGTACGTTAAGAAGGCAGCTGTATTCTTGAAACGGATTATTTCGTGGCAACTACCCGGAATCATTCATTCTTTTCTGAGCTCTGCTTGAGTTATTTTCTATACCATCGACACAGACCACCGTGGCAGACGCACCGATGCTGCACTGAAACTTTCCGCCCCGAAAACATGGGATAGCTCACCCCGATCGTGTGCAATAAGACCACGCACTTATAACTTCCCACCGCCCAGCCGGCCGCCCGGCAGATGTCGTGGCGCGCGGTGCCGATAAGGCGCTGCCGCCGCCGTGCGGCGTCGAATTCTCGCCCTTATTGACACCGGCCGGTCGGCGGGCGTAACATGGTCCTCTTTAAGCCATTTGAGCAGCGCCTAGCAGTAATACTTTTCGGAAAAAGGGGTATCATTGGACTCAGAAAAGAATACCGCACCACATGAGCCATGAGCCCATATACTTTTCCAAAATTCGTTTTTTTAACAACCCTATTGTACAAGCCTCGGTCCTATACTCCGCGCGCAATGGCGGCTGACCAGCGATCGATAGCGCTCATCTGTCAGACGGGCAAGTCCAGGAAAAACGAGACCCACAAGGACGATCGGTAGGTTACAGGAGAAAAATCTGCAGACCCGCCAGCCCGGTGACACTTCAGCGGCACATGCTACCGGGAACGGGTCACGACCGTGGGATCCGACAGCTCCGCGCGCACCAAATTAGGGAGGGTCGGCCTGCGCGGTGCAGCAGAACGCGGGTCTGAGCGGGAACGACAATGTAGGTAGGTAGAAGAGAAACCCGATACGTTACACTGTGGGAATATAATGATCAAGAAAGGCCGCCCATAGGACCAAATAGTGGCTGTCTCAATAGTGGTCTAAATCAAACTGCAGAAACCATGTGAACAGTGATGCATTCATATGGACAATGGACATGCTGAAAATACTTGACATAGGTACACAGCACACTGTATTTGTGAGTCGGTACTATTCTCTAGTCAGTTGTTTTTAAATGCACGGGTTTTCTAAGGTGTTAGGATGAATATTACCAGATCGGATAAAACATTTACCTATGAAATCTCGACAACTTTTACTTTGCAGTCACAAATTACACATACCTATATTAAGGACGCTTTGCGATCATCAGTATCAAGTAATTGTGATTGATGTCTGAATAATCGCACCTTATTACAGTATCAGCGAGGCTATGGGAGGGAGAATCAATTCTCTCCCAACCTCCACTTCTGATGCTCCATCACACGGAGACGGTATCAGTTAACCAGGCTCACCGCGATATTATGTCGGACCGCAGCCTCCTCCAGCAACAAAACATCCCAACAGGTCACACCAGGTCACGGCAGGTCACACTGCATCCCAACAGGTCAGTCAGGTCACGGCAGGTCACGGCAGGTCGCACTGCGTCCCAACAGGTCAGTCAGGTCAGGGTGCGTCCGGGGCGGCCGCTGTCGGCCCGGCTCCGAGAGGCTGTATCGGGCCGGGGCCGTCCTCGGCGCAACCTTGCCACCGGCGGCTCGGCAGCGGCGGCTCGGCGGCTCGGCGGCTCGGCCAGCCACGTGCCCGACGCCAGTGCCGGCGCACGGACGCTCCGCGCGGCCCGCTCGTCCGCTGAGCTCCCTCCGACCGACCCCGAGCGGCCACCGAGCGCAGAGACCGGACGGAGCGATAGGCGACAGCAGCACTCCGTCCGGGACAGCGAACAGGAGGGAACGTCTGCTACAAGACTAAACGCCGCTCAACACACGGAGGATCGACGCACGTCTGTGGAGACTGAGGGAACTCAGTACCAGCAGGACCAGCGGATAACGACACTGCGGACTGGTCACCTTGGATCGACAGCAGAAAGTGCAGTGACAGTGACTGAGAACAGTAAACAGTGACCACTAGTGACCCATCAAAACTAAGCGGTGACTGAGGGACAGTTTCAGTGACGCTCCGTGCTAACCAGTGACACCCAGTGACAATTAGTGGCGTTAAGTAACTCCGATCGACTCCCAGTCACCCTCAGTGACTCCCAGCACCCTGCAGTGACTCTGATTGACTCTCAGTGACTCCCAGCGGCTCCGTCACAATGCCGATGATGCCGGAGCTGGCGCCCCCGACGGGGCCGGATATCGGACCCGACGGTCTGCGTATGACCGACACACGCGGCGTGCGGCCCTTCCAGAGCTCCGAGGAGTACCTGGTCGCCATGAAGGAGGATCTGGCAGAGTGGCTGAACGGGCTCTATGACCTGGATGTGACCCCAGAGAGGTTCATGGAGTCCCTCGACACGGGCACCGTCCTCTGCAATGTAAGTGGGCAGTGAGAGGGGCGGCTCAGTGTGTAAAGGATGCATTTAGCTGTTGCTTATTGCGCTAAAAGCAAACGGTTTCAGAAACAGCTTCAGCAATCAGTAAGCGGCGAAATGAAAATGTTAGCAAAATATTAAAGTGCTGGATGCATAGTGCATATCTTACTTGCATATCTTACTCTTACTTATATTATTGCTATGCTCACCCAAAGTGCGAATTGCGATTTTAAAGCCATACACGGAACTGCCTCCTGAGTCACCGACTGGATAGATGCCCAACTTTTAAGGTTGAGGTTCATTCGATATTTTTCAACGTAAGGCTTCAATTCATGGTCACTTTCCTTATATGTGTTCTTGTGACAATGCATTGTTCGATTCCTTGAATTGAAACATGTTCCCTCACAATAACTATATCTAGATACATTTTTAATTGCAACACATTCGTGCCGTCAACAGGCGAAACGACCAACTTTTTCGTTTCACTCAGTTTTTGGTAAACCGAGTGTCGTGCCGTCATCCCCACAACTGTCCCTGCGTATCGCAGGTGTACGTCGCCACAGTGAAGCGTCGTCGTCGGCGTCGGCGTCGTTTGCGACGCCGCTGACACAGGTGCGGCCTGGCCGCTGATCCGCCGCGCTATAAAAGGCAGTCCCTGTTTGGCCGGGACGGCTGTGACGTCGGCTGAATATCTATCATACCGCTGTGACATTGGGTCAGCGCTGAGTCGCTGCACGACTGAATAATGATCAGCTGCCGTTCGGACAGAGCGGCAAACACTGGGTAGAGAGATACGGAGAATAGGTGCTCGTGTAGGCCTTCGTGTAAATGATACGGAGCTATCGAGACATGCAGATGAACAGCGGAATGTCATCCCTATATCACATATCTGTCTTATTAAGAGATGCCAAGTATAATTTTAAGCGTTACGCCTAATATTGCATTCGCACCTTTCAAAAGGGTCATCATCGCATTCATTTTATACACGAAGTCGCACTGCATATTCGGTTGGAACATTCATTTCTCAATTTGAAACGACAAACACGGAAAAACATAAGCGATTTAAAACATAGGTTTATGCGGCTATAGCATTCAACTTATGCCTCGCCTCCATGGTGCAGACAGCCTAGCTGACACTTCCTCCCCCTTCTGCCTTGACCCACAGCACGCCAACCGAGTACGGATCATAGCGGAGCAATTCGAGGCGGATCACGTGATCCGGCACGGTCGCCGCTTCTCCCCCGGGTTCCGCGTGCCCGTCTGGGAGGTACACTTCAACCGTCAGGCTCGCGCCGGCTCCTTCTTCGCGCGCGACAACATCCACAACTTCATCCGCTGGTGCAACGAGCTGGGCGTCCTCGACTGCCTCATGTTCGAGACCGAGGATCTCGTCTCGCGCAAGAACGAAAAGCACGTGATATTGTGTCTGCTGGAGATCGCCCGGCGCGGAGCCAAGTTCGGCATGGCGGCGCCGATTCTGGTGCAGTTCGAGCAGCAGATTGACCGCGAGATCGCCCGCGACGAGGAGGGTGGCGGGGACGCCGCCGGCGAGCACGAGCCGCCGGCCATCATGGTGTACGGCCCCAGCCGACAGGTGGTCACCAACGACCTCAAGAGCCTCGACGAAATGGTGAGTACCCCAATGTCGCAAACGACAGGGTTGAGAGAAGAGGGACCTGTTATCGATATGGCATGAAGGACGGATGAACACTGAACAACAATTATTGTTGCGTATTACCTACCTAAACATGCTAGCAATTCAAAATTCTTACTGCCGAAACATATTACGGATTCTCCGTATACCTACCTAACCACCAATGTGTCGACTAGGGGACGTAATGTGCAATATTGATATCACACTTATTTAATGCGAATAATAGTCCATGACTTAAAACAGTGTGTGAACCACATAACGCCCTAAAATCAGCGAACGCATTCATCAAACGGTCCAAATATTTACATTTCACAGAAACACATACATGATTAAGCGATAAGCGCTCCTATTCACCGATTGGAATGCTTCTATACGTATACGGTCGAATCACGCCGACCGTTTTCTCCATATAAGGCATCCCTACCGGCGTCACGCGTCGCTTTCCACAGGCGACGTGAATCACAATTCATCAGTCCGCCCGGTATGACTAAGGCTCTAAAGTCTATTTTGGCCGCTTATTCACTGGTGCGAATTAGCATTCATCCGTGATGCCTTATCTGCGGGAGGCTAAGCGCGGTTCACACACGAGGTGTTCTAATACTATCAGCAGCTGGTCCGTCCACCAATCTGAGCCCCTGAGCCGCGGCGGCTCCGGCCTTACCATATAAGCCTGCGCAACACACGAGGCGCAGTGCATTTCTCCGAACCTTCGTGTCTCATTCATTTATGAAGAGATTACCGGCGGATGAAGGCTGGTTTATGGGATGTCTATTAAAACCTTGCGCAATGCGGGCGGAATGCCCTCATCGGCCTGCAAAAGTGTGTTAAGATGAAATGACCTTATGTTTATGATATTGACGTGCTAATTTTAGACCCAGGTATGTATTAGCTTAAAAGGCAGCGGACAACGATATCTTCTTTTTAGGCACAGGCTGAATACATATGTATGTACGTAGATATTAATTTGCTGCTAAATATTTTAGATAAGGCAATGGATTTAGCAGAAGTTACTGTTCACAGATTTTACCACTATCCAGCTTTCCGGATATAAAGTATCCGAGCCTATTTATAGGTGACACACATGCATAGGTATCGCCATAAGTAACGTTGAAATCGCACGTTTTTAACTTGTTTGGGCGTGTTGTGCGACAAAACCAAAGTCAGCTTGCGTAGTGACGAATGACGCGTACGGAACATTCTAACAACTTTATCAAGTAGGTACAAAGAATAACAGCACCACAGACACTACGATTTTTAACAGCATGCAAATTTCAAACGCCTCAGTGCATCCCACTTCATAATTTAATCCACACACGCTTTTATCACGCAACGCGCACCCTCTCTTTCATCCCACTCCCCCCTCCCCACCTCCAGCACGCACCTCAGATTGACCCCGTGGCCCTGGAGATTCCCGCGCGGCTCTGATCGGCTCCAGACGGCCTATCGAGTCTCCAAAATGAGCTATCGACTCCAATCAATGGCGAAGAGCGCGAGCGTATCTAGCCACGCCCCCTCACTTCTCCGTGTATAGAGGATGGACGGGCGATCCTAACGGTTCTCACGTTCACTACCTTCTCTGGTGGAAGTGTGACGTTTTGCTGGGCGCTGAGACCGTCCAGCAGCCCGGGGTCGTCGGGGAGCGGGAAGCGCCCCTTTGTTCGACTGGAGGTCACTGTAGGACTCGGAGGTGCCCCGGACCAGGACGCCGGGGTTTCGTGACGAGCCGATGGAAGGGAATTAGGCAGGTATCACCGGCGGTGAGTCAGGGTGTTTTGTGCAGTCCCGACACGGCTATCGTCGGTGAGTCGAGGTTCCGAGCGGCATGGACACGACGGCGGCGCGGCGGTACTTATATCTGGGGAAACCCGTGGTCGTGTCTATAGGAGGTGGCTACTGGTATGGCTGTGGTTGTTCAGTGGTTCCTCCATTATGCTCATTGATAAACAGGAACGACTGCGGGACTTTTCCCCTGCTGCTATGATCCGACTATCGATTTTCGACTTTCGTGCTCCTTATCACTTCATAGACCCTCTGACTCTCCCTAATCGTGCATCGCGCTGGGCACCGAAGGATTGAGGAAGAGGGGGAGAGCTCTGTGCTACCCGGGAGAGAGGGAGGGTGAGAGGGAGGAGGAGCCACGCCCTCTGGCCATGGCCCTCCCGGCGCCTCAGCTCGGCGGCCAGCGTATTCCGGTGAAGGCCGCAGTGCCAACTCTGCCAGTCATCGGAAGCGCCGCCCCGCCGCTGGTCCAACCACGCAGATTGCGCTACATATCGTTACACTTTCGCCAACTCATCCTGCAATGCAGGGACGAGGTGTGCGGGGCCAGTCTCTGAGAGAGGACGGAGGGTCGTCCCCACGCCATTTGTGTGCAGTTTCGTCACTCGGGGTGACTGTCACTCCCAGCAAATTTACTCGCTGAGTGTACTTACAAGCATTGGCACGAGGGAGTGTCACCAACACCAGTGTCAATATTTGTTGGGGTAAAGCTCCTGCTCTGCTCCACGGGAAGTGAAACTGCTCCGACCAGTGACGTTTTGTCAAACTCAGAGCGGTGGGCGTTTTATGTTTCATCATAAACATTTGAAGCACTACCGATTCCACTGTCGTTAACAGTTGATGGCATTAAGGTCTATCATGAAGCGAAGACCAAGGAAAGACCTATGCAGAGTCCTCAGTTTACGCCCGAGCTGGCCCCTGAGGGCACCAGCGCTGAGGGGCGCCGCCGGCGGTTCGCAGGTGCTGCCCTCTACCCGCCGGCGGCGCCCTCACCGAGCTACACCCTCGTGGCTCGTACCGTCCCGAGCCGCAAGTAATATCCCGCGCCCGGCTGGGGGTCCTGGATTTCCACGCCCTGCTGGGGGGGGGGGGGTGTTTGAACACCCCCCCCTTGTAACTCGGCTCCTGGGCCACGTAGCGATACGCGGAAGGCGGCGTTCGAAAGAGCGTAAAAAATAATGACGAAATCACTTCGGTCAATTTTTTGGTCAGGTCAAAGGTCAGGTCACCAGAGGTCATTGAAGGCAAAATTTCGCCGATTTCCAGGTCGAATGTCGAAAATTTCCAAGAAGCCAACGCATAACTCGGGAACCAATAGAGCTACAGCGCCGCGGAAAAGCGCATTCGATAGCCCTATTAACGCTCTTTCTGAGTAATCCTCTCAGATTTGACCTAACGTCAACGGTTTTGCCTGCAGGGGGCAAAAACTGCAAAAATAGCCGATTTTTTCGGAAACAGTTTTTCTGCAATAACTTTTGACCCAAGCCTTGTACGAGCTTACTTTTACCGGCATCGTGTTCCTCTCGTCAAGACGCATCGAATGAACTATAACTTGACCTTGGAAGGTCAACTTGAAAATTTGACCTCGGGTCAAGGTCATGACCTGACCGGAAAGGGTCATGTTGCATATCAGTCGATCCGTATCGTCGAGCTGAACACATCTAAGGCGTTTTCATCGCTCTAGCATGCCTCTATAAAAAGTTATTTGCGAAAAACTGTTAGATACCATTCGTGACCTAAGATGACCTCAGGGCATAAACAAGGGTCACGGACACCATTTTCATGTTCTGTGTGTCTAAACCACTTGTAATTCGGTGTTTGGGAGTGTTTATAATGTCTTTCGTCCAAAAGAGGCGCATTTCAATTTTCTCCCATTGACTTATAATGGGGAGGTCGCAAAATTGACCTGACCTTAGGTCATCGATATCAAAATTCTGAGATATACATTTTGTACATGCTATTGCTCTTAGCAATCGCTGAAAGTTTCAAAGCGATCGGTCACTCGGTGTAGCTATGACAGACATTGAAGCTTTTTATGAGGTGAGGTCACTTCAAGTGACCTGGTGACCTGACCTTGAATGACCTTGGTGTGAAATTTTCACAACATGTGTAGAATTGATGTATGATAAGGTGTACCAAAAACGGCGGCGCTCCGCGCCGCCGTTTTTGAGATATTCGCGAAAAACCACAAGGGGGGGTGTTCAAACACCCCCCCCCCCAGCAGGGCGCGGGATATCGACTCCCTGGTGACACGCAGCGCCCTGCCGCGTCCCAGGGCCGGCCGACCGGTCGCTCAGAGCTCCGTGTCTGAGGAATGTCTGCTGAGTGGTACATGATGGGCTCCCGGAGCGCTAAACGCCCCCGGGGCGGTGATATGAACTGATCTCTCGGTGATATGGACCGATCTCTACCAGCACACGGCGGGAGGCCAATGTTCGGTGGCGATCTATGAGAGATTTGCGGTCGAAATCCCAATGAGTATCCGATAAAAAATGACAGATCGTTCCAAACCGCAAATAATCATGTGTAATAAAATTGGAGTTCTGATTATATTGATTGGAAGTGATTTTAAAAATGCATGGGCCAGTCGCGGTGACCGCAACACTCATGTTGCCTGATTTATATTGTTACATTTATATGCACATTTGACCAGATGTATTTAGACGGTGAGCGTTGTCTGGGCTTTCCGGACGCCCACCGGCCTAAATGCATCGTCCACGTCTTGTCATTTATCCTTTTCAGTCACAGCCAAGAGTAAGGTGCCACCTCTGATCTATGATCATTGGCATGTATAGCAAAAGTAAGAGAAAATACGAAAGCATCAAATTGATGTGGAACTGGTGACTACAAGCGCAGAGACCTGGACCACTCACCATGCAGCCAGCTCTCCGTATTTGTACAGCAACAACCCTCCAAACAGAAACCAGTCACCAGTCACAGCATCTGAAGCCGTGTGTGGTCGGCACACGGCACGGGACGGGTCATCGACCGCGATCACATACACCGGTGATGTCAGACCCGTGACGTCACAACACCAAACTCTACACGGACCGGCATTTTGCAGACAGCGCTGCACCCTCAGCCATTGACGTCAGTGACCCCATACTTTGAGCAAAAGTTCCGAAACTTCGGTTATAAATGAGAGTTCGCTATATAAACTCGTTCACATGATGCTTGGATTTTTGACCCTCGGATTA